GTTCCGACCCATAGCGACCCTGTACAGGGTTTCCGAGGCTGTAAATCTTTACAGGAGCAGAAAGCCTCATCTTTCTCCCGTGGAACAGCTGGTAATTTCAAACTGCTGAGCTCCTATTTATATAGTCAACATTAAATTTAAGAAGCTGCTTATGTAATAGAAAATGTGGTGTAAGTATAGTAAGAGGATAAAAGGAATGTGAGAGTCCAGAGCATAGAAGAGTGAAATCCCTCATCATACTAGGATGTCAAGTGAAAATTTCTCATAACAACCATTTGAAAATGTCACCTACCATCCCTCCCATAGCATTCTCTATTCAGCTGGGTTCAATACTTCATTGCAGTGGCCAAACAGAACTCAGACACCATACCTACAGTAATGGGGTTAATTAGGGAAAACCAGGCTATAATGCAGAATCTGAAAATGTTCAGGGCTCAGTTCTTCCATGGGACAGCCTTTCCTTTGCCATGCTCACCTGCAGACCTCTCTCTGGCTCTTGGCCACTTGGTCTGGCCTCTGCCTTGCTCCAGCAATGTTACAAAGTTCTTTTAGGGCTGCTAATACAAGGCATACAACTCCACCATAGCCTCAGCTCAAAAGCTCGAAGGCTCTTGCTCTGTGGATCAGCACACTTGGCTCCCCTAATTAAGTGACTGGAGGTATCCCACTCCGTAAGCAAGTCCTCAGCTTTATGTGCTCCATGGGCTGAGAAGTCCAGCACTCTGTCCTGTGCTCTGTCACTCCTCTGTCACTCCTCCAGTGTCATAGCTTTCTGTCCAAGGGTCAAGGAGGTGCAACATACAAGGATCTTGGGATCCAAAAGACACACTCCACTCTTGACTCTTTCTTTTTGATGGTGGTTAGATCCCCCATTCCTGCTTTTGAGATGACTCATTTTGTACACATTGGAGTAACAACATTTTACAATCATAAGTAACCCTGTTAAAAAGTTCGCCATCAGCAATACCACAGACTACCAGGCAAAGCAGATTCAGGGCAGAGCTCCAAAGCTCAGAACCTTATAGTTAGGAATATTTAAAAAGTTTCAAGGCTTATAGCTAGTGGAACTTGAAGCGGAAGTAAGAAATTGCGTACTTTTGAATCTGCTGGGCTCAGCGGCTTGGAGCTGACAACTTAGGTGAGACCAAACGACAAGACCAAATGGGAGAGCAGACACACCCCGGAAAAATGCCACGGGAACCCCAGAACAAAGGTAGAAAATACACTT